GAGCTCTCCTCCTAATAAGCTCTCTCCTAATCAGCTCTCTCCGTAATGAGCTCTCCTCCTAATCAGCCCTCTCCTTAATGAGCTCTCCTCCTAATCAGCTCTCTCCATAATGAGCTCTCTCCGTAATGAGCTCTCCTCCTAATCAGCTCTCTCCGTAATGAGCCTTCCTCCTAATCAGCCCTCTCCTTAATGAGCTCTCCTCCTAATCAGCTCTCTCCATAATGAGCTCTCTCCGTAATGAGCTCTCCTCCTAATCAGCCCTCTCCTTAATGAGCTCTCCTCCTAATCATCTCTCTCCATAATGATCTCTCTCCGTAATCAGCTCTCCTCCTAATCAGCTCTCTCCTTAATGAGCTCTACTCCTAATCAGCTCTCTCCGTAATGAGCTCTCCTCCTAATCAGCTCTCTCCGTAATGAACTCTCTCCATAATGAGCTCTCCTCCTAATAAGCTCTCTCCTAATCAGCTCTCTCCGTAATGAGCTCTCCTCCTAATAAGCTCTCTCCTAATCAGCTCTCTCCGTAATGAGCTCTCCTCCTAATAAGCTCTCTCCGTAATGAGCCTTCCTCCTAATCAGCCCTCTCCTTAATGAGCTCTCCTCCTACTCAGCTCTCTCCATAATGAGCTCTCTCTATAATGAGCTCTCCTCCTAATCAGCTCTCTCCATAATGAGCTCTCCTCCTAATCAGCCCTCTCCTTAATGAGCTCTCCTCCTAATCAGCTCTCTCCTTAATGAGCTCTCCTCCTAATCAGCTCTCTCCTTAATGAGCTCTCCTCCTAATCAGCTCTCTCCATAATGAGCTCTCCTCCTAATCAGCTCTCTCCATAATGAGCTCTCCTCCTAATCAGCTCTCTCCGTAATGAGCTCTCCTCCTATCGCCGGCCCAGTTTCACTCACAAGGCTTTCGTCAACCCGTGGTATGGTTTTCAAGCATTTTTCAGTTTGTTTTTTTTTTCCAATCGTACCCCCCAGTCCCATAACATCAGACAGTAACCTTCCTGAAAAATCGAAACCGAGCCTCATGGTCAGAATGCGGACGTTCTAACCATTCGGCCACGTGCGCACACTAAGAATAAGAATAATAAGTAAAAAATAAACAGTATCTTTTTTTAGCCTGATGACCATCCAACTATTTAACTTTTTTTTCTGCTAGATTTTTCGGCCGATATATTTTTCGGTCAAACATTTCCTGAAGTACGATACAAAAGCATTAATTGTTCTGAAAATCATATCGAAATTGTGATTAACCATGGGTATATAGTACCCAGCGCAAATTTTCCTATTTTTAACTCCATTTTTCAGTACCTAATTTTCTTACCTAAATATGTTTTTCACTTACTATTAATGTCAACTCAAAGTACAAAGTTTGAAGTACCTGCCTGTGTAAAATATTTTAAATAAGGATTTATATTTAATTTTTTTTTTGATATTTTCAAAATCTGGTATGATATACCCATGGTTAGTTGTGGTGTAACTTTAATTGATGGTTAGTGTTCTAAGGTTAAGTAGCTTGTCTCGTAGACTATTATATTTTAATAAGCTAGATATCCAATAGATGCTCCTCTTTTGTAGCCTTGTGCCAAATTAAGTTAAGGTTATTAGATGATTATATAATAAGCAAATATCCGAATTAATTTCTCAAATGCATAGGAATTTGATATTTCTGTTTGAATTTCTGGGATCAGATTATTTATTTATTTTACTGTGACTATTGTCTTCATATTTATTGTTATCGGAATGTTTCGGCCATTGTGTTCTCCTGCCTTCATTAAGTGCTTGTCGATCCAGCTAACCTTCAAGGAAGTTCGAATAACCCTTTATTCAATCTGTAGAACGAGAACAAATCCTATTTTTATGACGGATGTTCCTAGGTGTTATATTCCTTACTTCCACCAAATCTAGACCTTCACTGCTAAGACCTGCATACGCAGTGGGCACATAGAAGCGGAATAATAGTTAGCAAGCTTGTCTCGCTAGATCAGTTACGACTGAATAGTGAGTTCGATCCTCACTGGGTGCACCATACTTTGAACCACATCTAAGCTACGCTTAAAAAATCACCATACTGCATACTCAGGGTCGACTCATTCCATTCGTATTCCATTTGTAAGGAGGAATTTATACCCAGACAACCTCTTCCCCATAAATGTTACTTTGCGAAAGTGACCGAAGAGAGGATACTTCTCCGATTATTATGATCTTAACACCTTCAAGTTTAAGTTCAGTTGTTATCTATCCTCATAATATTTACTTTTACGCCCTTAGAATGGCCTCATTCAGTAACTCTCTACCTTGAGTGGCTCTCGGGTATTGATGTTTGGATAGTGAAATAGTTATCGCTCCGGAAATTGAAGCCAGCGGGCTGTGTTCATATTCAGGGCGAATATGTTGTGTTCACTTCGAACTGATGTGCCTGTAAAAGAATGATTAGATCTATATTTTCATTCCGACTGTTTTAAATAACAGGGAAGTATGGGGTCTCTAGCTATGGATGGCAGCCAGTCTAGGAGAAAGATAGCTCTGAAATCAATCTAATTCCGATTACTGGCATCAATGCAGAGTGACGACCTTTCGACTATGGCCCCTATCAAAAAGAGGCTATCAATTGTTTGTCCGTTTATTAAAGAACCAAAGATACAAATTATACAATAGCCGATAGTCGCATTAAAAAGGATATTTCAGAGTGTCGGGTGTGGCAGGTTTACTTGACTGTATCACCTAACGTATTCGATTTGGTTGTATTGGTGACACCCCCAAAGATCGGACAGTGTCAGATATCTGATCAGGTAAATTGAACTTAACACGTGCAATGTTTATTTATTTAGTTAGTTTTACTGTCCATTGGTATGCCATTATCTTGGCGAGATTTGATCGGTAAAACGTGACTTGAGACACCGCTCTAATCTCATCGGACGGGACAGCGGAATTCGAGTGGCGTAACCATTAAAATATAATATGATTTCAATCTTCTTTTATATGCCGTGTCCCTTCATGACGAGAGCGATCACAGTTCTCCACAACTTTCTATTCTTTGTAGCACTAAACAAGATATATCCTTTTATTAAACCTCGCTGTTCTACCAACCTCGTTAGGTAGGATTTCACTATTTTCCTCGGTCTTTCTTGCCTTCTGTATCTACAGAGCAAAGATAATATAAAGTATTCTTTTATATGTCTTCTAAACATGGGCGATTATGGCTCTCCACAACGTCTTGTGCTTTGTAGTTCTTAACAATATTTGCCGTTTTTATTGTCCTTCCTAAGTAAAAAGTGAGATTTTTGTTTCTTTTCACTACAAAAAATAAAAAAAGATTGACAGGAAAGATGAAAGAAACTAGTATAAGTACTGGAAACTAGTATAAGTACTAGAAAAAAAACTAGTATATGTACTAGAAAGAAACTAGTATAAGTTCAAAAAATTAGTATAAATACTAGAGAGAAACTAGTATAAGTACAAGAAAGAAACTAGTGTAAGTGTTAGAAAGAAAAAGAAACTAGTATAATTATTAGAAACTATTATAAGTACTAAAAAGAAACTAGTATAAGTACTAGAAAGAAACTAGTATAAATACTGAAGAGAAACTAGTGTAAGTACAAGAAAGAAACTGGTGTAAGTGCTAGAAAGAAACTAGTATAATTACGAGAAACTAGTATAAACACTACAAAGAAACTAGTATAAGAACTAGAAACTAGTATAAGCACTAGAAAGAATCTAGTTTAAGTACTAAAAAGAAACTAGTATAAGTACTAGAGAGAAAATAGTATAAATACTAGAAACTAGTATAAGTACTAGAATTAAACGAGTATAAGTACTAAAATTAGTATAAGTACTAGAATGAAACTAGTATAAGTACTAACGACTAATATAAGTAGTAGAAAGAGTGATAACAACTAGTGGTCTTGAGAAATCGAAGTAGAAAATCAAAGAGTTGACCTGAAAAGTCGAGTCTTGTTGTTAGTCTTACGAGACGTCGATCTTGACTTTCATATGAAAGACATGCAACTCATTCAGAAATGTTTCATCTATCGTCTGCGAGTGATAGGCACGGTGGCGTAATGGTTAGCGGCTTGGATTAAGGAATCGGTAGAGCCGAGTTCGAATTAAAGTTGAGTTCATTACATTCACTTTTCATGAATTCATCTCTTTCCTCCATCAGCTATGGGTAAAATAGCAGGGCCGGCTGGATCCTATAGCCTTGGCTGGCAACCAGAAGGATACTCTGAATTCGCACTATCCTAAAAGTAGATATATATACAGCTGGGGACTGCATGTGAATCCAAATTCCAACTGAGACTACTACTATGGATTTGCGCATCAAAATGAACACAACATCTGCTATACTTGTTCAGCTTTCATTCAAATGCGTAAGGTTGGTTTGATGAAGCCGGCTCAACCGACCGGGCGAATGCTGCATCAGGTACATGATGGCTTCTAACCTCAATCAGTTATGTGCCATGCATGATACACGCGTAGGCGATCATGTATCTTTCGATACATGACTGACGAGGTAGATTTTTTTTCCTCGCAGTAGGTTGCCATTACTTTCTGCAGTAGACCAATTGCCATCCAAGGCTAGAGAACCTGATCTGTCCTGTTATTTACCCATAGCCGGGGTGGGGGAGAATAAGAGGATTCGTACCTTTCCTAAGGGTATTAGCTTCTAACCTATAAATCCTTAATCAAACCCGACAGACTGCGCTACAATGTCACAGAGAAATTTACAACAGAAACATGTAGCTCATGTAATTAGATTGGTTCGTTTTTAACGGTTTATCAACCCTTTGCAAGTTATTTAATGCCAGGAAATACTTTTAGATTGTCATTTTTTTAGATAATTATAAGTTACTAATACAAGTTTTACTAATTAACCCATAGATGGGAGAGAAGATCTAGATTCATATCTTTCTCAAGGATATTTGTACCTAAGTAAATATAATGAACCCAACAGGAATCTGAACTCTCCGCTTAACAATTCCGAGTCATTATCCATTACACCACCAGCGGCTATCCATCTAAGTACTGACCAGGCTCGACGTTGCTTAACTTCGGTGGTCGTACGGGAGGCGGTGTTTCAACGGGATATGGCCATAAACCGCATGTAATTAGCAGAGAAAACAATGATATATCAAGTTGTTCAATTTCCACACAGCCCAAAACAAAAGGCTTGGAAAGAAACTCCCATCAGTATGAGAAAGTGCTATAATAAAGGCTGTTCCAGTAACTTGGACCGATTTTAAATATGAATTAAGTTTAAGCGTCTAATGATTTTTTTCAGATTTAACAACTTAAGTCCTTGGCAATTTCAATCATGGAAAGATTAACAATCAAACGACGTGTTAAAATTATCGAAGCCTATTACGAAAATGGACGTTCAAACAGAAATGCAATGAGAAGTTCCCGGGTCGTATTATCTTTCGAAACAGCGAAGTCATTTGGCCACCACGATCGTACGACTCGACGCATTTAAATTTCTTCTTTTGAAGTCATCTCCAAAGTAAGATCTATGTTGAAGGATGAGATAATAAGGTATATTGATGTGATCGAGGAGCAACTATGCAGAGACGTCATCAAAAATTTTGACCATCGAGTGGAGGTGTGCCGCCGAAGCCTTGGCGGACATTTGAGCGATATTATTTTTCACACATAATTGCCACGACTTAAATGACATGATCCAATAGAGAAATAAATAAATTTTCACTAATAACAATGATTTATTTACTACTGATATTGATCCGTCTTAATGAAACACCTTTTAGTTAGTGAACTTAAGAAGTATAATTTCCTGATAAACAGTTTTAAGAAAAAGATTTTATAAATTACAATTGACAATAGCAGTAACTGTTCGGTCGATAAATGTCGACTGTTTCCTGAATGGAAACGGTTATCTAACCATTAGCATTTGCTAGTATCATTCTTAGGCACAGCTGGTGCGTCACTAAGTCTTATAATTTATCCATTTACTATTATGCTTTGTCATTCAAGGAATATTGTTATTTGTCCTGATACGTACTTTTTTTTCCTTCTCCCCCGGCAAACACAGAATCTTATCCCACGAGAAAAAGACGAGCAATCGTCAGTGAACTGATTCAATAACAACCAGAATCAAGTCAGATTTACCCGACTGTTTCTCTCGCTAGTTACTGGATCTCTATTGAAATTGACCCATGAAGCGTGAAACTATTTAGCCGGAACCGTTTCTATTCTTGGTAAGTCAGAGAGAGAGAGAGAGAGAGAGAGAGTGACCCGCACCTCATTAGGAAAGATGGTCTAATCAAGTACGTGGGATTTTCCGCTAACGAGTCGAATAAGGTGTTGCATAAAGTTGTGAGACAACCGATAGAGCCTTCACACTTGAAAGATATTATAACTTCAACTTAGCGCGACACAAAGCTAAATCAAGAAAAAGATTGGGTTTCGCTAATCCCTCAAATCGGGGGTGGGGTCTGTCTAACAAGGAAATCAAAATTCTGTTTTACATCTATGAGGAACTATCAGAGCAATGACTAGTTCAATCCCAACGGAAGCGACAATTCATCTCTCTGTCTCTCTCTCTCTCTGTCTCTCTGTCGATATATATATATATATATATATATATATATATATATATTATATATATATATATTTGAATTTGTAGGCCTGATGAATTGACCGTGATTACTAAACAACTAAACTGACGATCCGCTTAGATGAAACCTTGTTAGGTTTGTTTGGCTCTCTAGGTTTAAATATATATATATATATATATATATATATATATATATATATATATATATATATATATATATATCATAATAATCTTATAAATATAAGTAAGTATACTCGTCCGAAAAACTTTAAGTGTTTTGGCTTGTAAATGAACAATCCAATAACCAAAGAAAAATAAGCAATAAAAAAAGAAAGAACTAAGAACATTTAATTCAGGCAAAAGCAATCGACCAGAATCCAAGCTCAGAGTCCAAAGAAAAAAACCTCCGACACAAGTAAAGTAAAAGTAACTACATAAAGCGCTCAATACACTAAGTAGAGCAACTCTAACTATGAACCTAAAGAGCCAGACAAACCTACCTAGGTTTCAGGGTACGCTGACCAAAGAGGAACATTAGAACAGAATATAAATAGCTTACGACATAAAAACATGACCATGTGACAAAAAAAAGTTGTGATATTGTTTAATTTTAATTTATCGTCTAATTATTAGTTTATCGTCTTACCCAGGACGAAGATAGATAGATAGATAGATAGAGAGAGAGAGAGAGAGAGAGAGAGAGAGAGAGAGAGAGAACTTTTGTTATTTCAGGAACATTAACTGATTTAAAGTCTAATCAATTTGATTTGAAATAAGGAATATTTTATTAATTTTTTATTTAGTTTACCAAACTTACTTTCATTTTTTTTTCGGGAGTAAGCGAATACAAAATCATGAAAATAATATAACACCCCCCCCCTGAATATGACTAAAGAATGCCCGAATGCTCTTGGAACAATCAGCAGTTTTGTACTCCCTCACTCCAACTAAACGGTTTGGTTTGGTTTGTTGTGTTTTGCGGCATATCAACACCTCGATGGGTTATTTAATACCGACAAATTCTTTCCTGGTAATATTTTGTTTTGCCAACAATCTATTTCTGGTAATATTTTTTCCTAAAAAATGTATAGCTCGTAATATTATTTTAAAAAATGTATTGGTGGTAATATTTTTTTTTCTTCAAAAATTTATTTCTGGTAATAATTTTTTTACAAAGTATTTCTGGTATTAAAACCTATTTTTACACTTTTATAATGCTTTTTACCTCAGTTTCGGGGTTAACTATTTGTCCATAGCTGGGACCCTAACAGATGCTACCACCTCGGGTCAGGGTGAACCTGGAAAGACCAACAATTAAGTGGTGGTTCCACACTCCTCAAAACCTCCTGATCAGAGGTCTTGCTGTTGGACGTAGTTTATCGTCTTACACAGGACACGGATGTAGTTTATCGTCTTACCCAGGACAGCCCACTAAACGGAAATATTTAAGAACGCTGGAAAAACTAAATAAAAAAAAATAATCCAATTTTCCTTGCCCATCATTTTTAACGAAAAGTGTTTAAGAGAAGTGTTGCTGTCCTAATATATATCAACACTGTCAATAAATAACATATTTTAAAAAAAAACATGTTTCGGCATTTGTCTATATTTCTGAGATGAGGTGCTATGTACACTATTCGGACTATTGTCCTCATCTTTGTTGCTATATTTATCACAACGTTTCGGCCGTTGTACGCTCCGGCCTAGTTCAGGTGGTTGGAATGTCGAACTGAACCCTTTATTTCGCTCGCTGGGGTAGTTCTAGTTCCAAGTCTAATGGATGTCAGTTATCTCCTGTTAATTCCCCTTTCCAAGTTCTCCACCGCCTTAACCAGGTATTAAACTCACACTCTTTGGGTCCTGTCACTGAATCTAACTAACGCCTTTATCCACTGTGCCATGTGTCATTGATGACATCTGTGTATGAATTTCTGGGTATTATAAACCTAATGTCTTCAGCAACCATTTTTACCAGTGCTCATATTGCAGTTTTTGTTGTTATTCCATGTTTTTATCAGAGCTCATATTGCAATTTTCGTTGTTATTATCGCTTTTCCTGGCACTGTAATGTAAATAATGTTTCGGTATATAACCCATTTATTTCGTCCTGGAATGGAAAAATTACCCCCTGAGGATGAAAATGTGAAATTAGCGAAAATATTCGGCCTAGCAACATCAAATCTATCAGACAATAATTTAAACATAATTATCGCGTTATTCAATGAATTATTAGTAAGTTAATGTCTTATTAAGTGTTGTTAGCGAAAAGATTTCGCCATTAATTACATTAACATTGCTAATTAATTTTTGTATAATTGACTTTTACGGTATATATATATATATATATATATATATATATATATATATATATATAGATAGATAGATAGATAGATAGATAGATAATATTAGTGGTAAATATACACATACATATGCAAAATATATATACATACATACATACACATACATATATATTTGTATAAAAAAAATTTCAAGAGGATAGAATCCAGGTAGAACTCAATGTCCAGGACAGAGTAGGATATAATAAAAGTTTAAATGATTTGATTTCCCATGGTCATAATTTATATAAATTATGACCATGGAATATTAGTGTTTAAGTTTTTTTATTATATATATATATATATATATATATATATATATATGTGTGTGTGTGTGTGTGTGTGTGTATATATGCGGTATTTAGTAGAAAGTGCTCAATATCTGTGATAGAGCTAATATATCCAGTTGCGTGGATAGTAGTTTGTAACTCCTGGTTTCACGCTTTTAAGATCTTCAGATAAACTGCAGCAATTTATTTGAAGATTGCAAAAGCGTGAAACCCGGGGTTACAAACCACTATCGATGCAACCGCATGCATAGATAGATAGATAGATAGATAGATAGATAGATAGATAGATAGATAGATGTGGGGGAAGAGAGAGTGAGTAAGTGAGATTAAATCTAAGTCGTTTGTGAAAAAGTCATGAATTGTCTATTGACGGATTGTATTTCTCTCATAATAGCTGCTTCGACATATCGGGAATTGTCTGATACTCTCCTCGTGCCTTGCTATGTAGGCTAAAGGCGTCATTTCAGAAGAATCCACGAGACTGCACGAAACTGTGTCCTCTGTGGTATTTGATAGCTAAGGTCTTACCGGGTGGGCAGGCTGGATCGTCGGTTCGACTCCAGGACATACGAGACACTGTCAGAGTAACATTGCGCCGGCTTCGACACAATTCCAGGCCGTAAATCAAGAAACAAATATGGCCATGTCACAACAACACAAATCTTCTGATTTCCTCTCTCCTTCTATCTCTCCTCCTTCTCCTCACTCTCTATCTCTATCCCTATCTCTATCTACCAGTTACTCTCTTTTAGATTACGAACTTTTTTACATATTTGATTCTCTGCTTTCACGCTTTCTTTTTTGTTTAATCTTTTCTTTCATTCCCTCGTCCTCTCTCTAATGTTAATATTTCCTTTCTTCCGTTTAGTTTAGAGTTTCTTTTGTTTTACGGTATATCAA